AATACAGCATTGAGACAAATGGGTTCAAGATGGATTTGTCGGCTTCCAGCAGTTACACAACGTGTTTGTCAAGTTCTTCCTATACCTCAGGAAGTTTTAGACCGACTTAAAAAACAACAACAACCAGTTGAAAACAAACCAAACTAAAATTTTTTACTGAGATGAAATGACCGAAGAAGTTGAAACGGTAGATTTGACACCACAAACAAAAAGTTCAGAACCATTGTCAAAACCTGTCAAAGAACTTACAGATGAAGAGAAAAATTCAATAATAGAAAGTGCCAGGTCTGGAAATACAAACCCTAACTATAAAGTCACTTTTCATAGAAATGGAACGGCTAGTATCTCAAAAAAGAAACAGACTCTCACAAATAAAATATTGAAGTCTGAAGGAGCTTTCGAGACAACAGATGGAAAAGTTTACTTCACTGACCAACAGTTCATTATAGAACATCTCATTGACTTAGAGTCGAAATATTCTAAACTTTACAACAAACACAAAAAGTTGAAAGGAAAACAAAAACAAATGGCATATGATATTTATGAAGATGTTGACGACACAACTGTTCCTGCAAGTGAAGTAAAGTCAGAGAAACCGAAAAGTGACGAAAAACCGATAGAAGAAGAAAAACCAAAAACTGAAGATAAACCAAAACCAAAGTTTAGTTTGGAAACTAAACCAAGTCAACCTTCATTAGCTGGTATGGGTTGGCGTCAAAGACTTATGGCAGCAGGCGGTTATGTAAAGTAAAGAAAAAATATTTTTTTATTTTTATAAAAATGCCCCCATATAGAATGGATAGAAAATCTGCTAGAATAAAAGCAGAGTCTGCTAGAATAAAAGCAGAGTTGGGAAACTTGTTTGTTAGATGAGAAATATGAAATGGCATACCATTTTAAAACAATATATTTTTACATATATTAAATGCTTCAGGCTGAAAAACAAAGAACAAAAGTAGCAGATACAAAACCGTTAGACTATATCTTTACAAATGCTGGTAGGACTATTTCAGATGAAGAAATTTCATCCCGAGTATACAGGTTTGACTATCCAATTCGTTGGCTTCAAAGTCCTTCAGATGCAAAGGCAATAGGATTTAGAAGAGTTTTGTTTTCAAATAGAACTAACGCATTTATGTTCGCAGTATTTTCATGGGCAGTATAAAGGTTCTGATGGTCTAATAGACAAATTTGACGAAATGAGAATCTTTACAGTTCGTTCAGACGAAAGTCTTGAGAAAACTCTAAATGACTTTCAAACTCAAATGAACAAATATTATTGGGAATTTCAAGAAAAATACGACTCTTTACTAAATGGAACATACTATCTGAAACTAGAATATGACAAGATGAACTCCACCGTTTCATTTCAAAAGATTGAAATTAACCCTCCAAGAGATACAGAGTTTTTATTTTGGAAAGTAGACAAACGTTCTTGGGCACAATTTCTTCGGTTACTAAACCAGAACGAACCATTACCACCAGATGGTCCATTTCAATTTATACTTCCACCAGCAGATTTGACAGTTTATAGAAACGTGTTTGACCCTCAAAATGTTATGTGTCATGCAAGTTTCAGTTCAAGCAACAATAGTTTTCTATGTATTGGTAAGGACTTTTATGACTTTGCTTCTAAATTCTACGAACCACCTAGTAACAGTTTCTCTGACTTTCAAGTTTGGTTCACAACAAATGGTGTGCAACATATTATTCCATTGTACTATGACTTTTATCTCGAATTGTCTTTCATATATAACTACGGAAAAGTGCTGAAAAAGTATTGAATGTGAAGATATTAGAAAATAACATTTTTTCTAACATCGTAGAAAACTCATGAAAACAATTTATTTTTGACACTTTCACAAAAAACATAAAAAAGTGAAGTTAAACGTTAAGGTTTACTGAACTGGTTGGATGTCGCCTTCACAGGTTATGTAGAATTTCCACCTCAAGGTTACTACCCACCACAAGGCTTCCCGAACTACCCTCCTCTGCCTATGCCTTACTTCCCCAACCCTTGGATGTTCCAGCAAGCTCCACCCCAGCAATTCCAATCTCAGTCCAAATCGAAGAGAGACCAAGAGTTCGAAGAAGGTCTGAACCGTTTACGCAAAGAGTATGCCACAGCTCCAATTGAGAGAAAGTTGTTCCCGGACCAAAAATATAATTTAGGGTAGAAGGTTAGATCTCACCTGTTTTTTCACCTCTTTTTTCACCCTCTTGAATTTTCATGACTTCTTCGTAAATGTTTTGTCAAGACTTCTTCGTAAATGTTTTGTCATGACTTCTTCGTAAATGTTTTGTCATGACTTCTTCGTAAATGTTTTGTCAAGACTTCTTCGTAAATGTTTTGTCATGACTTCTTCGTAAATGTTTTGTCATGACTTCTTCGTAAATGTTTTGTCATGACTTCTTCGTAAATGTTTTGTCATGACTTCTTCGTAAATGTTTTGTCAAGACTTCTTCGTAATGAGTGTAAAGGACCCAAAAATATAATTTAGGTGAAGAGGTTAGATCTCACCTGTTTTTTCACCTCTTTTTTCACCCTCATGAATTTTCATGAATTTCCTTAAGATAGAAAAAATAAAGTTAGTTTTATTTTGTATTTTTTTGTATGTAAGATATGATTTCAGGGATTTTTTTGACGAAGTGTCAACCTTCACTTCGTCAAAAAATAACAGTTATCTAATGAAAAAGTGTCATTTTTTTGTATTTTTTGTATGTAAGATATGATTTCAGGGATTTTTTTGACGAAGTGTCAACCTTCACTTCGTCAAAAAATAACAGTTATCTAATGAAAAAGTGTCATTTTTTTTGTATTTGACGAGAATGTCGGGTAAATGTTTTGTCAAGACTTCTTCGTAAATGTTTTGTCAAGACTTCTTCGTATATGTTTTGTCATGACTTCATCGTACATGTTTTGTCAAGACTTCTTCATCGTAATGAGCGTAAATGTTTTGTGAAGAATATAGCAACAGTCTGAATTCAGACGGTTGCTTTTTATACAAAATTCATGCAGGAAATTCTTGAGTTTTGGTTGAAAGAATACGGTGGAGCCAAAAGTGGCTCGACCTCAAAACAAGCATTTTATGAGCTTACTAAGGGTGTTATGAATGAATTCAAATGTATTTACATACATCCTGACCTCGTTCATTTTGTTGCTGAATTCAGCAAAAATAATGTTTAGGTGAAGAGGTGAGATCTCACCTGTTTTTTCACCTGCTTTTTCACCCTCTTGAATTTTCATGACTTCTTCGTAAATGTTTTGTCATGATTTCATCGTAAATGTTTTGTCAAAACTTCTTCATCGTAATGAGCGTACATGTTTTGTCATGATTTCTTCATCGTAATGAGCGTACCTGTTTTGTCATGATTTCATCGTAAATGTTTTGTCAAGACTTCTTCATCGTAATGAGCGTAAAGGACCCAAAAATAAAGTTTAGGTGAAGAGGTGAGATCTCACCTGTTTTTTCACCTCTTTTTTCACCTCATGAATTTTCATGAATTTTCCCGAAATAAAAAATAAAGTTAGTTTTATTTTTTTTTATTTTTTTATTTTGTATAAAAAAATAAAATGTCAACAATCGGCACAACAACAATTCAAACAACAGCACCAAACTCTTTAGTCATGAATCCTACGTCAATGTTAGTAGAGATGAAAAGCTTCATTCCTTCTTCATATACTTTTGAAACAGAAATCCAGAAGATAAAGCAAGAACTTTTAACACGTAATTTAGACTGTAGTGCGAAAGATGAAACAAATGAACAGTATCTTTATGAAATGCAGGACATTATTGACCATTTACCCAAATTGCCTGAAATCCAACAACAAAAACTCACTATTCCTGAATTCGACGAAATAGAAGTCAAAGCAACTGACTCAGTAGAAATAAAGAAGTTCATACGAAAGGTAAACTATGAGTTTCTAGGATTTCATTGCAACCATAAGGTTATGGACAAAGATTGCGACATGGTATATAAGAATGTTTCTGACATATATAAATCTGAAGAATTTAAGACCTACGACAACTTTGTTTCGTTAGTTGCTGAATGTGTATGGCAGATAAGAGATGAAGATAGAAGAGGTAAAGTATGGAACAAACAAATAAGACCCGCTATGTTTGAGATGAAGAGAGCAATTGACGCTTTAGTTGTTTTAGCTGGTTTTATTTCAATGTATAACGCAAAAATGAACCCGCAATGTTCTAAATGTAAAGCAGCAATGAGGAAATATAACTACTCCGTCAAAGAGATAGAACGTATGAGAAACGACTATGCAGACTTAAAGAAAGAAGCAGAAAAACCAGCAGAAGATAAAATGGACATGTTAGAATTTCTGAACAAAAACTATCCAACAGCAGAAGATTTCCTTCTATCTGACGTCAAGAAGAAATATAAAGAAACTTTCGGTATCGTTAAAACTTTTGACATACTGACAGAAGAAATAGAAGCTACGAAACTGTTTAGGATTTCAAATATACATCGTACAATTCATGTAAAACGGTTGTGAAAAAAAGAGGTGAGAAAACAGGTGAGAAAACAGGTGAGATCTCACCTCTTCACCTAAACATTATTTTTGCTGAAAAATGACCAAATTTCATGAATTTCCTTAAGACAGAAAAAATAAAGTTAGTTTTATTTTTATTTATTTTTTTATTTTGTATGTAAGAACAGAAATGACAAACATTGAGTTTGAAACAGTTAAAAAGATAGACAATGACACCAAATTGGTTAGAATAGGTGATTTAAACGTAAGATACTCAAAGAAATACAACAAATATTCTTTGTCAGACATTATATCTCCATTTGGAAAGAAACCGAAGGACTGGGTTAGAAATGCTTCTACTCAGAAAATTTTGACAAGAAATCCTGAGCTTATAATATCGGTAAGATTCTATGGAACTACAGCATATCTCATTGACAAAAGTCTTATACCAATAGTTTTGTTATGGTTAGACCTAGTTGTTGGATATAACTTCATAACATATGGTTCATTCGATACGGAACGGTGCAGTGAAGGCTTACTTTACATCGTTCAGAAACCGAAGGACTTCAATACAAAGAGATATAAGATAGGAAGAACATATAATATAACTCAAAGATATGACAGTACAGTCAATAGAGTCAAGGTTGTGTTCGTTAATGATATGAGAGCTGCAGAAACAGAACTACTTGAAAAGTTTGAGAAAATGTATGGTGCTCCCATAAAAGGTAAAGAAACGTTTGAAGTAGATGAGATAGATAAAGCTATAAAATTATTTGACGAAGTTGCTGAAAAATACATGTAAAGCGTTTATTTTTGGTCTTTTGTGAAAGTCAGAAAATAAAGTTAGTGTCATTTTTTTGTATTTTTTTGTATGTAAGATATGATTTCAGGGATTTTTTGACGAAGTGTCAACCTTCACTTCGTCAAAAAATAACAGTTATCTAATGAAAAAGTGTCATTTTTTGTATTTTTTTGTATGTAAGATATGATTTCAGGGATTTTTTTGACGAAGTGTCAACCTTCACTTCGTCAAAAAATAACAGTTATCTAATGAAAAAGTGTTATTTTTTTTGTATTTTTTTGTATGTAAGATATGATTTCAGGGATTTTTTTGACGAAGTGTCAACCTTCACTTCGTGTCATAATGTAAAAATAACGCTTACCATGTAAAACGGTTGTGAAAAAAAAAGAGGTGAAAAATTAGGTGAGAAAACAGGTGAGATCTCACCTCTTCACCTAAACATTATTTTTGCTGAAAAATGACCAAATTTCATGAATTTCCTCATATGCTTGCTTCCCTCGGAAAACCGAGAGAAGAGATTCCGTACGAAAACAGTGAAGAACAGCGAGTAGGTAAAAAACCTTAGTCGCCAAAACTCTATGAAAACAGTGAAGAACAGCGAGTACGTAAAAAAACGTAGTCGCCAAAACTCTATGAAAATCATGAATTTCCTTAAGATAGAAAAAATAACGCTAATTTTTTATAAAATATTTTTTTATTTTGTATGTAAAGACAGATATGTCAACAACAGAGAACACAACAACAGTTATAGTCCATGAAGCTATAAATGAAGAATACGAGTACATACAGTTTAACAAACAACTCCGTCTCATTCGTTCGGTCAAAGACGATATGTACCAGATGCAAAGTATTTTGACAGCATGTTTTGCTCCAGATACTAAGCTTCCTAAAGACTGGTTTAGGAACCAAAGCACACAAGAACTTTTGAGCGAAGCACAGCGAGACCGACTTTTTTCTGGGTCGCCAAAACTCTATGAAAATCGTGAAAAATTGCCAAACGGTTTGAGAGGATATTATGTACATAGACTTCTTGTAAATGCTGTTGCAATGTGGGCTTCGCCTCGTTATGCTTGGTATATTTACAGACTTCTTGACGAAATTCATAGACAAGAACGTGAAGAGATGGAAAACAAGCTTGAAGCAAAAGATGAAGTCATTGAAGCAAAAGACAAAAGCATTCAGAAAAGAATACCACGTTCGGTACCAAAAGGAAAGGAAAAAGAACTATAAGTATATGATTTATACTGAAGAGATGGAAAATGAAGAAGATAAAGATATGGTTATGTTGCATTTAGTCAGAAGAAACAACAAAAGCTTTTACGACCTTGCTAAGATTTACAAATCTGACAGAAATTGGTTCTATCGCGAAAACTTACCGATTTCAATGACACCGAATGAAGATGTGAAACAAATAGTTCAAGATACGTTACCTCAAACACACTATGATATTAAAGGTTGTACAATACTTACCTTCAAAGAAGACTTACCGCTACTGAAAGAAAAAATAACAGAGTATTTTGACAACTTCAAACAAGTAGAGTAAATTGCACTCTTTATTTTTACGCTTGACTTCAGATGGCTCAAGTAGCTCAATTAGGTAAATTGCCTCGTCAAATCCTTCTGGCATTCCGAGTCCTTCCATCCGACAGGAAAAATTTTTCCTTCCGACAGGAAAAAATTTTCATTCCGACAGGAAGAACTCTTCCATCCGACAGGAAAAAATTTTCCTTCCGACAGGAAGAACTCTTCCATCCGACAGGAAAAAATTTTCCTTCCGACAGGAAAAATTTTTCCATCCGACAGGAAAAATTTTTCCAGTTGTCCGTCCGTAAACCATTCAAATTTTCGAAAATTGAGAACTTTTTGGTCGAACTTCAGAAAAAAATTTTTCCATCCGACAGGAAAAATTTTTCCATCCGACAGGAAAAAATTTTCCTTCCGACAGGAAGAACTCTTCCATCCGACAGGAAAAATTTTTCCATCCGACAGGAAGAACTCTTCCATCCGACAGGAAAAAATTTTCCTTCCGACAGGAAAAATTTTTCCATCCGACAGGAAAAATTTTTCCAGTTGTCCGTCCGTAAACCATTCAAATTTTCGAAAATTGAGAACTTTTTGGTCGAACTTCAGAAAAAATTTTCCATCCGACAGGAAAAATTTTTCCATCCGACAGGAAAAAATTTTCCTTCCGACAGGAAGAACTCTTCCATCCGACAGGAAAAATTTTTCCATCCGACAGGACACAAACGGATGACTGACGTTCCTCTTCCTGAATGCCTTCCAAAGCCAGAAGAACCGAAAGCTGCAGAACCACAACAGACTTACTTACTAAGACTAAACACTTTATTTTTACGCTTGACTTTTTACAATTTGAATTTTGTTGCTGAATTCAGTAAAAATATAATTTAGGGTAGAAGGTGAGATCTCACCTGTTTTTTCACCTCTTTTTTCACCTCTTGAATTTTCATGAATTTTCCCGAAATAAAAAATAAAGTTAGTTTTATTTTTTTTTATTTTTTTATTTTTTTTAGAATTTCTGAACAAAAACTATCCAACAGCAGAAGATTTCCTTCTATCTGACGTCAAGAAGAAGTATAAAGAAACTTTCGGTATCGTTAAAACATTCGATGTACTAAAAGAAGAAATAGAAGCTACGAAACTGTTTAGAGTCTCACGAATTCATAACGTTTACCATGTAAAACGCTTATAAAATAACTGGGGTAGAAAAGAGGTGAGAAAACAGGTTAGATCTAACCATCTACCCTAAAATATATTTTTGCTGAATTCCGTATGAAAATTCTGAGTAAAATAATTTTAGGGCATGTGTCAAACCGTTGAGTTTTCACAAAATTTAAAAAATAACGTTTACCATGTAAAACGCTTATAAAATAACAGGTGAGAAAACAGGTGAGAAAACAGGTGAGATCTCACCTCTTCACCTAAACATTATTTTTGCTGAATTCAGCAACAAAATTCTTGATTTCAGGGATTTTTTTGACGAAGTGCAAACGTTCACTTCGTCAAAAAATGGCATATGCTTGCTTCCCTCGGAAAACCGAGAGAAGAGATTCCGTATGAAAACAGTGAAGAACAGCGAGTAAGTAAAAAACCCCAGTCGCCAAAACTCTATGAAAATCGTGAAAAATAACAGAGTATTTTGACAACTTCAAACAAGTAGGGTAGATGAACCATTTATTTTTCAAGCTTGACTTTTTACAATTTGAACTTTGTTTGCGTAGATATGAATTCTGAAAGAAGTATGAGGGTCTTGTATGACTTTATACTTCTCCCATAGTTCATGTCTGTCAAACTTACCTGCCATGGACTCTTTCATAAGTTCCATGAAATCGTCTTCGGACAATCCGGGGAAAAGTACAATGTCAGTAAGTATTCTCTTTACATCCTTACTTAAACTCTTTGCTGTCTGTACACAAATGACAACTGAGATGTTAAAGTGTCTGAGCTTCTTAAGAATTCGACACATATCTTGTTCTCTATTCTTAAGCAAAGGATGAGAAGCAAAGTCATCTAAGATAAGAAGACACCTATGAGGGTATGTCTTCCAATCGTAAGATTGCAATTTCTTCGAAATGTATTCTATCTCTTTCTGTTTGTTTCTGAAGTGTTTCTTCTCTAATATTCTCTGCATTTCCTCATTTGGGTCTTTCAACTTAGAATTTATATACTCATTTATAGCATTATACTTCAAAACTCTTCTTTGGTACTTCTTTATCCAATCTAACAACTCAGAGTCTTTTATACATACTAACTTAGACTTCTTTATAATATCTTTGAACGAATTGACGGTTTGGTCAAATTGACCAGAAGTACTACAAATGACTACTAACTCATAGAATGGGTTCTTCTCATCTAGTTCTTGTTGTTGTGCAGCCATTTTAAGATAAGTGAAAGTCTTACCCGACCCAGGTGGTGCAATTAGACCTGTTATACCATTCTGAGCAAATAAAAACTTGTCATGTATGGGTTTTATCTGAGCATTTTCTAACTTCACCTTGTTCTTGTTTAAAACATTCTCAAATTTCTTGTCAATGTCAGCAAACTTTTTTTCTAACATATTTTTAGAAAAATTAAAATTTTTATCTTTTAGAAAATGTCTAGCGATTTCGCTATCTATATTCGAGACAAGCTTTTCGACAGCAAAACATCTGTCGACCATAAAATCTTACATAGTGTAAACAAGAAAGGGGAATTTGTTCTAAAGTTCTGTTTCTGGGAATATGACAAGAACCATAAAACATTAAGCAGAGCAGTCTTAAAATTTGTCAATGACAGACTTGTTGACAGAGATGACGCCGATTGGAAAGATGAAGTCCAACAAAAGTTCTTAGAATGCAAAGAAGACACATGCGCTGTTCTTGAAGATGAAATAGAAAACAGAATAGAAGAGCTATTAAAGGACAAAGAACTTTTACATAAATATGGTTGCGCCAAATTTGACGTCTCACCACCAGAAAAGAAGAAGAAAGAAAAGAAAGAAAAGAAAGTAGAAGAAGAGAAGAAAGAACCTGAACCAGTTCCAGAGAAAAAGAAATTTGACATGTAAAAATAAAATTTTATTTTTAGAACATTTCTGGTCAATGTCAATGTTCTCTTCCTCTTTAGGAGCAAACACTGGCTTAGACTCTAAAATCTTTTTACCCAATTTACCTTGAACTTCAACTATCTTAGACTCATAATATTCATAGTCGTCTGCTTTCTTTGGTTCATAAGGTATAACAAGTTTGTATGCTTTGCCTTCTTTAAGGTTTGAAAACCTTCTGTCAAAACTTTCTTTGACTGCTAACAAACCTTCTATGTCTAAGTCTTCAAATTTCGCACCATTTTTAGTCACAATAGCAAACTTAACTGTTCGATGTTCCAAACTTTGCTGAATGAAGACTTTTCAAAATGGTAGAAGTAAACATTCAAATATGTGAATGGGTCTAGTTTCTTCTTTAAGTCCTGACATGTACTTGTTTACTGAGATGAATTTTGCCATCTTTTTTCTATCGGATAAAAAAATATTTTTTTTAAAATTTACTCATAAAAATTTTTCTTTGTATATACACCTTTCTGTACGTCTAAAAGACTTTTGACATTTGCCAAGAATGTTCGTTTAGACGCTGTCATATACATATTCTTGACAATTTGTTATACGAATCGTACAATGACCTTTCATCTAATGACACAAAGTCAGTTTCATCTATGAACAGTTCATATACACTCTTGTTTGCTTCTAAACAATGTTTGTCTCTCTTCGGTATGTGGAATTTGTCTTGGATTGAACTTTGAAATATCTAATGTCATAAAATATGAGAACAAGTGGTTGTAAAAGTCAGATGTCAAAGTTTCTGCTAAGTCGTCAAAATATTCTGTATCTTGCATATGAGAATCTGACGTTCTGACAACTACATATCTTCTGTCAGAACTTTCTAACTTCATCGGAACAGCATTGTTTGAAACCATAATGAAGTTTGCAACATTTTCACAAACTCTTTGGTCTTTATACTTTCTTTCAACAACTCCAACTTTGTCTGTTATAAGACTCTTCAAAGCATCTTGAGTTCAAAACTTTTGTTGTATCTATACTTTGAAGTTCATTGCAAACTATAAGTTTCATATTCTCTATTGAGGAGTTAAACTTGCCACAGATGTTTTCTAAGTTTGTCATATTCGGATTCGAATAGCCCTCTAACAGTTTGCATAAGATATCTGTAAAGAATGTGTTCTTACCAGTTCCTTGTTTTCCAATTATAATGAGAGCAGTTTCATTTTTAGCACTTGGATGTTGTAAGATGTTTGCAAACCAACATAAGATAATACTCATAAACCTTTTCGTTTCCATTGCATATAATTTCTTTGAACATGGTCTAACCAAGCTTCTATAATATTTTCTTTCCATTCTACTTGTTCGTATTTATATCCAGTGAAGATAGAATAGAAGTTTGGAGAAGGTGTATAGAACTTTATACCTCGAACTGAAAAATCTTCAAGTTTTGACAATAAGATATCCCAAGCATCTAACATCTTCATGCCAAACTTGTACGACTTTTATTTTCTTAAGTTTCTGTCTACATTCTTGTTCTGAAACTATTGTTGCTTTAGGTTTGTTAAAGACTACATCCCATTCTTTCATAACATAACATTCTGGGGCAGAGTCGACATAAATGACTAAACGTTTCAAATTCTCGACTGCTTTGTTATAGTCTCGAAATGGACACATATTTCTGAATGCTTGGAAGTCATAAAAATCTGAAACATCTATTCTGTACATTTTTATAAAAATAAAAAAAAATATTTTTTTATTCTTGACTTTGTTGTTGCATTTGTTGCATTTGTTGTTCTTGAGCTATTTGTTGTTGAAGTTGTTCTTGTAATACAATACTTTCACCAGTTGCATCTTCCAATTCGAAACTTTCTGCCGTCATTGACAAATACATAGGACATAAAAGTTTTACAGGAACAAAGTTTGCGTCAACTAATGTCAACGTTATACTTGCCAAAGTGTTTGAGTTCACTAAGGTTGAAAATTCTGCATTCGAATGAACAATAGGCAAACCAGCAGAGAAAGTATTGTTTATACGCATAAGTATCTTTTGGTCATAATAGTTTCTGTCGACATTCGAATAACACTTTGAACCTAAGTTTGAAACAATATATAAGATTGGTGTGCTTAATGTCAATGGAATAGACATTCCTTGTATGACACCTTTTCCTGTTATAGGAAATTGTTGGTAGTAAAAACCAGAAATAAGTTTTTGTAATTATAGCTCATATCGTTTATAGTAAACTCAGTCGGACATCCAAACATAATGAAACCTGCTCTAGTTGCAGCACATGTTACACCCGTCCTTAAAGTATTAAATAAGTCAACAAAACCTGTTGGTGGTATTCTGAGTAATATCTTCAAAGGAGTATTTTTTTACCATTCACAACAATAAAGTCTTCTGGTGTCAAAAGAGCAAAACAGGCTTTAGTCGTCATTGTGTTTAAGGTTAGTTTACAATACCGTCCTTGAGGA